ATTAAAAATAAGAACATACGATTGTTTTCAGTCTCAAAATAATCGTGTAGCGATAATATATTTTTGTGGCCCTGAGAAATTTTTTTCAAAGCAGAAATTTCATTACGAATAATGTGTGTTCGATTTTGTAGGAACTTTTTGCTAACAACTTCTACAGCATAAGTTTTCTTTTTCTCTATCTTTTAGTTACGAAAAAGCAAAATTAAATCTTACATAAGCTAGATTCATAAATGCGCGGATAATTGAAAAACACACATACATGTTGAGCCTCTACATATATATAGTTATATTATAATTTAGAATTACTCAGAAAATACAAACATTAAGTCAAAATTTCGTATACAGACCTTTGATTACAAAGTAATCTTCTTGTCTGATCGTTTTACCGATCGTATACTAATTGTTATAGCATTTAAAATACTTATGATTCATAAATTGATTTAAGAATTTACTTAAAATTTAAATAACTTTATTTATCTTTTAAAACTGATTACCTTGCAAGGAGCCGTAGTGAGATTAGCCATTTAATAAAAGTTTTATCAAGAATCAGCGTAATAATCAATATTACTAATATAAATGTAACATCATACTTTATTCAAATTACCTTATAAATTATTTAAAATTACACAAAACAAAATCCAAGCAAATATTGAACTACTATTAAGAATAAGCTAGTCAATTTATGGAATAATGAAAAACACTGTTTCTAAATGAAAAGCCTTATATAGTCTGATTGAAATATCTGAATAAGCGAATTTAGATGCAATCAAACTAAATAACATTCATCGGCAATAATGTGATGTTACGTACGTACATGTAGATAAAATAGTTTTATATCTATGTAATAACCATAATACCAACCTAACAATTATCTAATAAAGAAAAATAAACCCATTAGTTCTGAACGACACATCTTCATTCCCACATACACTCATTAGCTAAATTAAGGTTACGGTACGATTCCATTTCCACAACTCGACATCACACAGGAACAAATTGCTAAAATTTAATCTTAACCCTATGTGATGTCAAATAAGTAATAACATCTATCGGGGAATTGAACGACAACCCAAAAATTAAATTATAGTAAAGATCATTGTTAAACGATACACGTAATTCTGTAACGTTAACATCAATTACATATTTGTTAATCTAAAAGCGCAGTATTAAAGCGCATCGGACATGGTAAATGCCATCATACTTTTAATTGTTAAAATTTAAAAATATAGTAATTGTGGTGTTAAATACCATTTGTATTTATCATAAATTCGGTTTAAATCTTCTGCTTTTAATTATAATCCAATTATGATTAGTGCAAATGATGTATATGAACGAAACTATGAAAAAGAGATATTTGAGCGGTATTTAAAATCTGCTGAAAGTGGTGATTCTGATGCGCAATTTAATCTTGGGCTTTGCTATCGACATGGAAGAGGCACAAACAAGGATGAAAAGAAGGCATTTGAATGGTATTTGAAATCTGCTGAAGGTGGTGATTCTCAAGGACAATGCAATCTTGGATATTGCTATGATGAAGGCATTGGTACAGAGAAAGATGAAAAAAAGGCATTTGAATGGTATTTGAAATCTGCTGAAAGTGGCGAATTTACAGCACAAAATAATCTTGGAATCTGTTATGAAAAAGGCATAAGCACAAACAAGGATGAAAAGAAGGCATTTGAGTGGTATTTGAAATCTGCTGAAGGTGGCAATGCTCGAGGACAATGCCATATTGGGATCTGCTATAACGAAGGCATAGGCATAAACAAGGATGAAAAGAAGTCATTTGAGTGGTATTTGAAATCT